ACCTAATCTAGGAACTACCAAGGAAAAAACAACTCCCCCACTAACACTGACAGGGCAAACTACTGTATATAAACAGAGAGCAAACCCCACTCCCTTGTAGCACTGAAGATGTTACCTAGTTGGGTAATGAAATGTCTGCAAGAAAACAACCAAGCTCAGAGAACCCCAGGACTCTACCCTCACTTTATTTCCTTGTTGCTCAGATTTCTTATCTGGTATAGGCTCTTGGTGGGGCCTACTATGTTTATTTAACCAGTGCATTAGTAAAATAATACAATGCTGACATTTGTTAAAACTTTGGAATATTTATAGGAAATTTAATAGTCTCAGTGCCTTGTTCCAAGAATCCTTAGAGTAATGAATTGGAGCCCTTCAGGCAGCAGGTTGGGTACACAACGGGATCAGGGCTTGGGTCCAATTGACCACTTTCCCCATTCTGTCATCTAAACTGGCTGTTTCATCCTTCCTAAGGGTAGAACCAGCCCTATCACTGCAGATATTAAAAAGGTATTTTAAAATTGACACATGGATCTTGGCTAAAAGTGGTTAAAGGGAACCACACACCCAAATTAAACACTCACTCACACACTGATTTACACAAGGACAGGTAAATGAAAATCAGGTCTAATTATGAAGAATTGGAACAAATGTGATTAAGCACAAATTATTTCATCAAGCTGTATTAATTTTTCTATACCATGCAGATGATTTCCAATTGTAGTAAGTGCTTTAAAACTAATTATGAAAACATTTTTGCTTTACCTGAGATGTATTCATTATCTTACTCCTTAATGCTGGCTTCTGAATGCTGAATTTATTTGACCTATTCAGGTAACGTTTCTGAAAGATATTTTCATAGGAGCAATTAAGAAGGATGAGACAATAGAAGGTGAGGAGGGAAGGGCAGAGAAGCTGGGACTGGAGCAGGAAGAGGAACAGCAGGGACTGACTGGTTCATTTAAGATAGTGGGATGTTTTGTCCCAGCTCTATAAAGAGGATTTTAGTAGAGAGAAGTAGTCTTATTTGGTGTTAATCAGTGGGCATATTTTATTTTAATTCATTTTATTTTAATTATTCAATGTATATGACTGCTCAACTCACCCAAGCAACTCTGTGTGGCTAACATAACATTAAAAGCAATAATAAAGAAAGAAAGAAAGAAAAAACATACATTCTAGCTGTCATGTCATCTCTGAGATGGCTACAACTAACATCCTAGCCAAAATGCTTGTGGGGAAAACTAGATTTTTAATACTTTTTGAAAGGTTAGTGGGAAAGGGTAGGACAATCAAATCTTGGAGGGAGATCACTCTAAAGGATGGGCACTGCCATCGAAAAGGCAAACTTCCTAGCTCCAACCATATGAGGTTGATGTAAAGAAAGGACCCAGACCATGACCAGCTTGGAACAGTGTGTGGAACAGGATGAAATAATCAGAGACAGATGGTCCCACAAATAAACTAGTCCTGTGCCATGTAGCAGTTTATGGGTGATAACCAGCACCTTTGATTGCTCCTGGAAGCCTACTGGAAGCCAGTGCAGCTTGTGAAGTAGAGGTGCACCATGGTTTGCCTATAGCTAAATGTGCTGCCACATTCTGAACCAACTGCAGCTTCCAGATGGTCTTTGAGGGCAGCCCCATGGAGTACACATTGCAGTAATCCAACAGGAGGACATTTTGTGTATCTTGGAACTATTGAATAAAATGCTTTTATCAATTTTGGTTCAAATACCTAATAAGATAAACCAGTATTTACAGTGTAGTGTTCCAACCTTTGAGAACCACAACAATTTTGCTGGAACACCAAACTCAAGAAAAAGGAAAAGAAAACTAAATAAGGTATTTCCAAGATTCTGATTTCTTTTTTTTTAGCCCACCCCCAACATCAGTTGTCACTGATAGTGTAAACACACACACACACACACACACAC